CGTGCACTTAACGTGCTTTGGTCTCGAGAGTCCCTTGGTGAGCATATCGGCAGGCATGTCGTCGGAAGGAACGTGAGCCACCTTCAATAATCCTTTGCTCAGAGTCTCTCGGATGAAGTAGTGTCGCATGTCGATATGTTTACTCCGAGAATGGAAGACTGAGTTTTTAGCCAGTTTCAGTGCGCTCATGTTGAAAACGGTAATGTTGGCAAGTTCTGGAAGTCCAAGTTGTTCCAGAAATCTACGTAGAAAGACTGCTTCCTTGGGGCATACAGTCAGTCTCATGTATTCCGCCTCGGTTGACGATAGGGCGACGCACAGTAGCCCAACGGAGGTTCGCGTGGCAAAATTAAGCTAGAGCCGTCAATTTAGTACGAAAATTAATTTTTTTTTTTTTTTAAATACTCAGAAATAAGTTTGGAATAAACGTATGAAGGCCGATTTTCGAAACTTTAATTGGCTTGTTTAAAAAAAGAGGTTTTCCGTATGTAACCGTGATTTGTAAGAACTGTCAGTTTCTAGTAATCTTAAAAATTCGTAATAATGCTATTCCAATCAACGAAATTATTCTTTTAAGTAGAAAAAATAAAACTAATAATACAAAATTTAGCACTTTAAGTAGCATCGACAATTTAATTAGTGTTATGCGAAGAAGGAACTAAAGAATTAAATTATGTAATTATCAATACCATTAAGGGAAAAAATCGACTACAATATATATATATATATGTATGTATGTGTGTGTGTGTGTATATATATATATATGTATATATATATATCCTAGTCGATTTTTCCATTTTATTTGAATGGTATAGCTACTCATATAATTTAATTAATTTAATTCTTTAGTTCCTTTTTCGCATAAAACTATTTAAATTGTCGATGCTACTTAAAGTGCTAAATTTTATATTGTTAATCCTTTTCTTTATAGTTAAAACTATATTTTAGTTGATTGGAATAGCATCTGTTCCTAAATAATACGATTTTTTAAGATTACTAAGAACTAACAGTTTTTGAAATCACGGTTACGTACGGAGAACCTCTTTTTTATGAACATTGCAATTAAAATTTCGAAAATCGGCCTTCATACGTTTATTCCAAATTTATTACTGAGCATTAAAAAAAAAAAAGATTAATTTTTCATACCCCAGACAGCCATCAATGCCCCAGACAGTTCATGCAATGTTAGAACGATATCGCAAACGTATGTTGAATAACGTATGTTGAAACGTATGTCGTCAAGATATTCGAGACGCGTCTGTGATGTACAGAGTATGTCTTCAGAATCTACTATGTCCGCGTTTTCACATCCCGTAGACTTTAGCAGCGAGCTTCTAATGATAAACCGTAGTTATTCTGAGATGTATCAGTATATCTCCAATATATCTCCAGTACATCTCTACAGTATCTGCGTATAGCATAGTGATGTCTTCCGTATGTCATGTATGCATGCACATACACACGTACACGTTCATATATGTGTATAATCTCGCGCGCACACGCTTGCATGCTGAACGATAGTATTTGCAGTGCAGTTGCTACTATAAAGTAGAGTAAATATTTTCAAACAATTAAAATTCTTCGAAAATATTTCCTATTTATAGTAACAACTGCGCTGTGCCAATATTTTCGTTCAGCACTATATATACAGGGTGACCCATTTTAACTTAGGCAGCCAAATAACTCGAAAAATAAGCACACTACGAAAAAATGTTTAGAATGAAAATTTCGTCATTTCGAGGGGGACGTACAATGACGTTAAAATCAGCCCCCC